GTTACAAAATAACATTGTCTTTTTTTATGTAATGCAAAAGTGCACATAAGCTGGACATGAGCCTGAGCATCCTGCACAATGGTTTCTATACTGGAAACACCCATGTTCAAACAATGGTTTGTCAGAGTGACTGTGACTAAGCAGTGATGTAATCATTTAAAGCACACATAGCTGGGCTAGGCAAAGAATCTCAAAGTGCAAGTTCTGCATAATTGAAACAAAGACAGTTTGTATGCATCCATATAATGTGACTCTGATTTTAATAAGATTTAAAGTTATTGAATAAATGCCCCACAGACCAGAGTGCGCTGAACAAAACTAGTCTTTCTGTACTTTTCTTTTATGATAACATACTTGTTTGATGCAAACTATCTTCAGCTATATTGTGTGTTAATTTATTACACAATAATCTCTGTATTGATGCACAACGGAAATGCTTTTAAAAAATATCAAACTATTTAATGAATCCAGTTTTTTAAATGCGTAAATTTCCTTTCACTAGTTTCGATCATGTTCTTTTTAGGCTTTGTGATGGTGTCAGTTTTGATCACTGTTTTCTATTACACTCAGGTGGGTACATAGACCTGCTAAACCCATTTGTGCTTTCTGTCAGTGCTGCAGATTTACAGTTCGGAGGTTTTTGGTCAAAAGAAGGTTGTTATTTCCATCTGCAATAATTTATATTTGGCAGTAAGGCTCTGCTCTGGAAAAGCAGCAGCAAGACCCCTCTACAGAACAGGTCAGGCATCAATAACTTGTGGCTCCTAGAGTTTCCAAAAGAAGAATGGGAAGCAGAATCCAGCCCCTCTCCTGTGGAACCAGCTCCCAGTGTGCACTCAGAGACGCGCACCCTCTCTAATGTTAAGAGCGGTTTAAATGTTCTTTTTGGATAATGCTTATAGTTAGGACTGGATCAGGTTACCTTGAGCCATCACTTAGTTGTGCTGCTGTCGGCTCAGACTGCTGGGGGACTTTCCCAGGTTGCACTGAACATTTCTTCTCCTCTCACCTCTTTTCACTGGCATTGCATTTATTGTACAGCTATTGCATGTTACTAACTTTTGCCTGCTCTTTCCTGCAGTGTTTTTCTTTTTTCATTTTGTTTGTTGTGTGTGATCTCTCTATGCTCCTGTTTTTTTCCCGTCTCTTTCCCCTCAAACCCCAGCGGGTCGAGACAGATGGCTGCCCCTCCCCGAGCCTCGTTCTGCCAGAGGTTTCTTCCTCTTTAAAAGGATGTTCATCCACATAGATGATTGTTGTCGGTTCTCCACTCAAATATTATTTGAAATTGAACTGAATCAAACTGAATTAATTTTTAAAAGTCTCTTATCTGTGTAAATTGCTGGACCCACATGTCTTCGTTCACTCAGGTCAGCAGACCAAATACTTTTGCTGATTCTGAAGAGAAAACTCAGACGTGACAGTTGCTTTTTCATTTGTGGCACAATTTGCCACTGCACACCAGGCAGACTTAAATCTCATTTAAAAATACACCTTTGCTCCCTAGCCTTTGTCCCATTGTGAGATACTGACTGTGATTTTAAGTCATCTTTTAATTGTGATGGTTCTTGTGTGTCTCCCCGTTGCTGCTTTAAAAGTAAAAGTGGCAAAAGTATTTTATAGATAGTGAATGTGGTTTGGTATGAATTGAACAGATCATGACATTGAAAGCAGGATGCAGATCTGCATCAACTGTGGACATGCTAGAGCGATTTAGATGAGATTTGCCAATTGGATCCATAGAGCAGTATCAGTAAAGCGATCGGGTAATGTAGGCTGATCCCAGCTGATCTGCTGCGATTTTCTGGACTTTGTAGCCTGCTTGAGCTAACCCTAAACTTGATTTATGCTGCTCTCAGCAGCAGAGAAGTTTGAAAAAAACACAAAAGGCCCTTTGCCAAGTCCACAATTGACCCATTTACTGTATCGCTCTCATGTTGCACACTCATCTAGAACAGTGGTCTAAAGCGAACACAGACCTTTAAAGTAGTTCAGATCTAAACAAAGACGTGGATGATGCATAGACACTGACAAACAATCTCCTGTGTTGTTTAGAGAGCAGGACCTAGTTACATAATGTGCACACTTTGGTAAGGCATGTAATTGCAAGGCTTGATGCCCCAAAGTTGTTTTACGGCGATTTAATTTCCAGAAATCTGGTTTATTTATAGCAAGCCTGAAAAAACTAAATGGTCTGTTTGTCATGGTGGCTCGAGAGGTCAAGAAATACTCCAGGAAGTTATTTATAATTTGCTTATAATGAAGCAGAATTTTTTTCATCACTTATTTGTTACAAAAACAGTTCAGTATCGGTCTTCATTAGATTCTTCCAAGGGTTACTTTTTTGTTTCTCTCTGACTTCTCTTTGTCTCTTTTACTGTCTTTTTCTCTCTGTTATTTTCTCTCTCTCACTCTCTCGTCATGTGATTTTGCTGTAGAGATGAGCAACAGAGCAGGAATCTGAGGTTCAGCCAACGCATTACATAAAGCTCCCTCCTTCTCCCCCAGTCGTTGCTAGAAAACAAACGTGAACCACTTCTTCTTCAGCTCGGCTAAAGTGAATGAACTCACTTCCTGAAGGCAGAGCAGGGAGTTTTTCATTAGGGAAAAAAAGAGAGCGAGAGGGAGAACGATTGTTTCAGGAACAGACTGGATTCTCTGGTATTTAAGAACAGTCAGTATGTGCAGAAAAACATGCAAGTCTGTCTGAAGCGGGCTGCTGCAGCCTGTTGTGTCTACAGACCGAAACATTCACATCCATGTCAAGATGGCAAGGCTTCCCGTCTTTAACTCCTGTTAGCGCTGAGCTGGATGTTTGCCACAAGGACAGACAGCAAAGGTTTTGATTCATGGTCACTTTCAGATTTTGCCTGTTGAAGTCATCACGACACAAACTGGACGCATCAGACGTGATTCTTCTTTGTGTTTTTCATTTCATTGTAGAGCAGAGGGTCTTGAATCTGAAGCTCCCTGTGGCTTTGACAAAAAAAGGAGAAACTAAACTTAACTACAGTAACTTTTCTATATTTTATAAGTGAGGTCTGGTACCAGAACTGTGCTGCAAGAGAAGTTTGTGTCTCCCCCTGGTCTCAAGTCAGACAGAGCCACTGTGATTGTTCTGCAGATGGAGTTTACTTTCTTTTTTACTTTTAACCTCCTAAGACCTGAACTCTTTCATGGCATGCATTTTCAGTTTCTCTTGGGACCTGATGAATGTAAAAGCAAAGAATTACCTGATTTTTTTTTTTTTTTTTTTTAACCTGATTTTTGTTTCTGAGAGAAATTAGACTGACATATGAGGACATTTGCTTTACATTTCGATAGAACAGTGGCAGTATAGTGTCCTCGGAAGTGGATATCAGGCCCTTGTAGAGCAAAATTTAGTATTTTGGTCTAGACCAGCGGTCCCCAACCCCCTGCCCACGGACCGGTACCAGTCCGTGAGTTGTTTGGTACTGGGCCCGCGAGTTCAGGCACAGGTGTAAAATTTAGGGTTTTTATCGGTTTTTAGTGTTATTTTTTTAATTGTTTTTATCATTAACTCTGTTTCCCTGGGTCTTTTCCTGTGTGTTATGAATTAATCTTCTTTTTTGGTACCAGTACTGGTTTTATTTTGTTGTATTTATCTGCGACACCTTAAAGGCCGGTGTGTGAAAATAGTGTCGGACATAAACTGGTCCGTGGTGCACCTTTACTGGGTTAGCATCAGGGTCAAATTCCGCTCTGATCCCAAAAGAGTTTAAAAAACCTGGAAGTTCGTGTTTGACTTTAACGCTGTCCTCTCTCTCTTTGCTTCTCCCTTCCACCCATTGTTGTCCTCCCCACCGTGCTCACCTCCCTCCCTCCTCCTCCTCTCTTTGTGTTTCTCTCCTTTTCTTCATTTTCTTATCGGCCCTCGGCCTCAAACCGCTGTCTGCGTTCTTTCTTCCTCTCTTTGTCTTTTTTCCTGTCTATTTTCTTTTACTGTCCTCCTGTCTCTCTATCACCCCGTCTTTCTCGCCTGCCCAGCTGTTCTGACCCCGAGAACTTTACACAGAGTGAATGTAGAGAACAAGACAATACGAGTAGACAGCGGTTGTAGTTTTTCTATATGTGTCTATGTATTTATGCTTGAAATGCTTTGTGTGCAACAATAGGGGTGTGTTCGTGTGCGTGTGTATGTATGTGTGTGTTCTTTAGTGTTGCGTAACCTCTGTGAGTGGGATGCTGTTTGCGTCCAGTGTTTATAAACTACTCCGCTCCAACAGCAATAACGTTGCGAAATCAAACACACACACACACACACACACACACACACGCACAGTCCTCTCGTAAATGACGGTAGGAGTCATTCAGACTCCTCCTCGTCCATCCATCCTGCTGCAGTTGTGTAAAACAGTGACCGCTGGAGACAGTCGACTTCCTACAGCGAAAACAAAGATTTTGTTTGTTTTGTTTGGAGGAAATTGCAGTTTTCAATGTTTTAATGTCAGATAATCAGTTAAATTACTCTTAATGTGCACAATGGAACACCTAAATCTCCAGAGTTCTGCTTGAATGAGGGATTCACGTCTATTCAAGCCTCAAACGAGAGATATGATAGCTGAAAGACTCTTTAGATTTTATAGTAAACCGTAGAATGATTCTTTAAACGTAGATAAATTAGAAACAGATGAAAATATGTTGCTGGATAAAATGGGATTAGAGGGAATAAATCATTTTAAGGAGGGAATAAGGATAGGAGCAGCAAAAAACAACAAAAGCAGAATTCTTCAAAAATTCATCATCACACAGGAGACGTCAAAAATTCGTTCATGTACTATAATTGTCAACTGTGGGTGACGATGGCGGGCAAAATCAAAAACTTAAACATCTATTCTAGTTATGTGTTTATAGGACCTTTTTTATTTTACAATGGCAGTAATGGTCTTTGTTTACTGTAACACTTTATTCCCTTGTTGCCTGAGCCGTCATTCGCTGTCAGCTGCAGATGTTCATGTTGTTTTTTCTGTGTCTCGCAGAGATGTAGCATGTGTGTTGGTGTGATCGGCGGACCATCATGCACCTCTTCTTGCTGCTGATCCTTCAAGCTACAGCAGCCATCGGACAGATTGATCCCGGTACACAGGCACACACACACACAAACCCCACTTTACCCCATCTTGATTTTAAATCTAAATCCGTCCTCTGCAACGAGCCAATTTAAACAGTTACAACTTAATAAAATGTTTCATTTGTAAAGGTCTAAAATCCGTCCTTGCAAAACACATAAAAATAAAATTGTGAATGTGTTTTTCCAGCACACTGTCGCTACCCCTTGGGCATGGAGGATCGACGGATCAAAGATGATGCGCTCAAAGCATCCAGCCAATGGCACGAAACAACAGGACCACAGTACGCCAGGTAAGTGTGGCTTAAAGGTTAAGTCGACTGGTTTTAAAAAAGTGTCTTTTATTGTTTTTAACTCTTGAATAAAGAAAAAAAGAAAAACCTGAAATGGAATTGTGAGATACAAAAAATGATGAAATATGCTTTAGAATGAAGTCAAATAAAAATTTGAAGATTTTAGAACTCCATCTTTTGGTTAAACTTGTGCAAGTGTGGTTTATGTGTTTGTGTGTGTGCGTGTGCAGGTTGAATCGTGAGGAGGGAGACGGCGCCTGGTGTCCTGCAGCGCTGCCATCAGTCAGTCAGTACCTCGAGGTTTGTATCTGAAGCGTGCTCAGTCATGTCCGGGTACCTGCATTTGTTATGTGGCGAAGTTCTACTCCATAAGTAAGAAGGTGTCGTGCATGCAGGAGAAAGTGGCGCTGCGCAGTCAGTGTAACATGAGAACGGGTGAAAAGATCACAGTGGATCAGAATCTGAGGTTTCAGAGTGTAACACAATATTTAAGTGCTTTGCAAAGCAGCTAAATTCAGTACATTCTGATTTAAAGGTGAAGTCTGTGTGTGGTCTACAAAGTTATTCTTTGGATAAATCTAGAAGCTCATGTGTTACCCAGAGAAGGCTGTTATTACAAACTGGCATATAAACCTAAATCTGTGTATAACAGCTGACTTGTGGGACAAGTGGAAGACAAAGAAATACTTACCTTCAGAACTGAGCGATCTTTTAATAAAGTTGGTGGTATCGATACTGCGCCACATGTGTGAATGCTGCAGTGTGAAGCTGTAGGTATTTAAATATCAAAGGAGAGAATCTGAGTCACAGTCATCTGTGGACATCAAAGACTGTATGGAAAATCCTCAGTTTCACATGAGCTGCATATTTATGCGATTCAGACATTCTTACACTTCACATCTGTTTAAGTCGCTTTAACATCTGTATATTGACATACGTTTAATATGTTAAAATGAGGAAAGTAATTAAAAAATCTAAAACCTGAAAATAATTTTGTGATGTTGCAGAGGTTTTTGTGTGCACACTGTTGAGTAAAGGCACACAGAGCATCTTTAGTTTTTACAGTTTTCTTTATGGGCCGATTTCTGTAGAAATGCAACAAAAATCCTGAGACGCTGCAAACACTCAGCTCACGATAAAAACCAACTTTGAAGCCTGTTATAGATCTCTGACTTAAATGCATCTCGTATTTGGAAGCTGCATGCCTCTTGACATTAAAATTGCAGGATTAACAACCAGATGTGTGGACGGCTTGCCTCTATACTTTTGGGGTGAACCATTTTCCCACGTTAATGATACAATATTATCTTTAAATGCAGCCTTTAGTTTTTAGGTTACTCCCATGTTACAAGATTTGACCGAAAGCCTTTTGCTGGAATTTTCTTTTTAGGTGGATCTCGGCAGACTCACCTTTCTGACGGTTATTGGTACTCAGGGACGATATATCAGGAACTCTGGGAATGAGTTTGCCCGAGAGTATCGCGTAAACTACAGCAGGGACGGCAAGCTGTGGAAGTCCTGGAGGAATCGGCAGGGGAACGAGGTGAGTGACCCAAATATCTTACAAAAAGGACTTAATGAGAGGAGAGAGGAAACAGACTGAAAAATGGGACATGAGAAGGGTCTGAGCCGAAGGAAGAATAGGAGGAAATACGTGAGGACTGATGGAGGGAAGACTGGAGAAAGAGGAAGAAAAAAAGAAACGAACAGGATTTTTTTCCTCTCGTTTTTCACTCTAAGCTGCTTCTGGTCATTCATATTCATATCAGAGGAAATTACATTTACACGCCAGCTTCCTGTTGGCATTCGAGATCCCCGCAGCTACGCAACACTGTTAGAACAATTTAAAACACCAGAATCATGTTTTTGATCTGAGGCTCCTCCCTCACATTCACATGGGGAACTTCCCAGAGTCTGTGCAGATTTCTGGTTATTTTGTGCCCAGCAGCACAAAGATTCACATTCCAAATTTCTCAGGGTGCTTTTTTTCACTTTAGGAAATGAAGCCCGGAAACATCCGCTGAGGAGTAACTGATGCATGCCGTCAGCAGAAACTCTCAAGCTTGTCTTCTTTGCTTTGAATGTTCGGCTGCTTATTTCTACACGTGCAGTTGTTGTGCAGGGGCACTGTGTGAGAGGCAGTGAATATTAAAAAATATATATATTATTTTCTTGTGAACATAAATTTGGCATCATCCTCACCGTCCTTTTGCATCTATTTGTGATTATTTTTGTGGTTTTTGTCACTTTGTTCGATAATTCTGCTCATTTAGGGTGTGTTTGCGTTTTGTATTTGTTTAGCATAGCTTTGCTTGTCTTTTTAAAGAGATTTTCCTGCATCATTATAATAATGTTGGTCCAGGATCTACGTTGCAACTGACCAATCAGCTTTCAGTTTGCACTGGCCAAGAAGTTAGTTAATTATTTTAAAAGTATCACTAGCAAACTTACATGAGCAAACTAAATTTGGCTAACAGAAGCTAACCTGATAATATTTTTATTCGATTGTATAGATTAATAAAGAAAACAGAGCGTTTCTTATAAACATAGCCTTTTTTTTTCTTTTTTACCCCATAATACAAAGCTGTGACATCACAACAATGTGACTGGTCACTTTCAATGTTGATCCTGGACACACATTGTTATGATGATGCAGAAAAAACACCAACACAGGGATATCAGATGCACCAATCGTTGGTCGCTGCCCCTCCCTGATCTTGATTTTGTCGGTGGTCTCTATTGCCAAGCGCTGCTCATAGCAGGTTGTTTGCTCACTGGGGCTCTCTCTCTAATATTGCAGCATATTTAACTCCCTATTGTCAGGCACAAATTTTCCTCTAGACACCATCACAGTGGATTTTAATCAAGCAATCAAAATGTGACTGAAATGCACACCTTCTGGTCTAAATCAAGGGATTTAACAAAAGTAACACAAAACCTATAAAAGTGGCTAGATAGCAACGTTTCTATCTCTTTAATCAGCCCATTCTCACTCCCAATGCCTAATATACCGACGATTTGTCAAATCCTGAGGTGTTCCATGGGAATGTGAAAGGTGACCTTCTGCGTTCCTATGCTACGCGCTGGATTGTGGATGAAATCGAATAGAATGAAGCTCCCACGGTAAGACATGTTCCAGCCGTGTATTCCAGCCCTAACCCTAACCTTATCCCTAATCGTAACCGACACCTTAATCGTGTTAAATAGTGTTTTCCAAAGCAATTTAAGTAAAATAAACGTACATGTGTGGATTCGTTCCAACGGTTCTCATTTTCCGAACTCGTAATATAGCGTTGGGTGGCTGAAATCGTAATATACCAACTATTTGTCACCTAGCATAAAATGTTACACTTTGGGAGTGGGAACGTGTTGCTTTAATAGCTTTATTGTTTGTTTGTTTTTCAGCCTAAAAAAAATCCCTCCTTCACTTGCACCAATGTCTCTTTGGGAGGTCCAATGCACACCTTCCAAACACAGGTTCAGCACTTGGAATCAACTCCAGATCTCTTGTCTGGTTCATTTGTCACTGAATAATGAGGACACAGGCCTCACCTGGCCAGGACACTGTCAAGCAATTCTCTGAAAATCAATGGACTGTATAAAGATGGCTATAAAGTCAAAACATGTCACATGACAACTTGTAACAACACTATTAACCTACTGATTGAACAGATGTTCCAGGGGTTTAATCTTTCTGTACTCCTGGTGTGATGGTCTTCTTTGTATCCCTGATATCTGTGTACAGATTATTGAGGGAAACAAAGACGCCTACACCTCTGTCATAAAGGACCTCCGCCCTCCGATAGTCACCCGCTACGTCCGGCTGCTCCCCGTGACCAGACTGTCCACCACCGTCTGCATGAGAGTGGAGCTGTACGGCTGTTCATGGGACGGTAGGACACATAAACACACAGTTTCCTTGTTAATGTGCGTTTTCGTCAGCTCAACTGCCATTAGAGACTGTTTACGCTTCCTCAGAGACAAGTAAACCTCTTCATGTCAACATAAAAGCTTTTAATGTCCATAAACAACAGTTTTTCATCCACAAGCAACACTTTTATTTAACAAACACTGCTGTTTATCAGATCCTTATATCGAGCAAAAACAGGAATTTGAATGATGTGAGTGCGATCCTCACACTGTTGTCATGAAGGTTGAAAGTTTGCTGTTCTGAGTGCAGCTGTGGGATCTTATTGTGGTGAGATAACAGTGAAATGGGATGAACTGCACCTTTAACTTTCCACTCCTCCTGGTTTCAGATGGGCTGATATCCTACAGCGCTCCAGAGGGTCAGCGGATGCAACCGCCAGGTTATCCCATCGCCAACCTCAATGACTCCACATATGATGGAGTACACGAAAGGGGGTGGGTCTCTCTTTGCTGCACTCGTACACACATCACATATCAGCGTTTCCTGTTTACTGACTGCTTTGTCATCCGATAGGAAGCTTTTCGGCGGCCTGGGTCAGCTGACGGACGGCGTGATCGGCCAAGATGACTTCACACGGACCCACGAGTACAGCGTGTGGCCTGGCTACGACTACCTGGGCTGGAAAAACGACTCGCTGGAATACGTGGAGATGGAGTTCGTGTTCGACAGGCAGAGAAACTTCACCTCGATGAAGGTTTTTCATTTTTGCTTCCTCTACCTCATCAGTACTATGAACTCACCACAAACTTTGTCATAGCAGTAGTGGTTGACAGCACTTTTACATGTGCTTTTGCAATTACCAGACTTACTCAGAGCCTAGAAATTGCCTCTGGTTCAGATCCAGTGTCGGGTTTCTCTAGTTTGCTCGGCACCATGTCAGCGTCAGCCTAGGCTGATGGCAGGGGACATGTTTAAACATCTTTGTGAGGACAGTAAATTGCATGCTACTATACTTGTGGGGGCCAGCAGTCACTTATGGGGACAAAATACCCGTCCCCACGAGTTTGAAGGCATTTTGGAGATTCAAAATGTGGTTTTAGTGTCAGTGTTACAATTAGGTTATGGTTAGGTTTAGGCTCAGGGTTAGGCATTCATTTTTGATGGTTAAGCTTAGGGTAAGGGTATGGTTAGGCTAGGGAAAGCATTATGTCAATGAGATGTCCTCACTAACATATGAAAACGTGTGTGTGTGTGTGTGTGTGTGTGTGTGTGTGTGTGTGTGTGTGTGTGTGTGTGTGTGTGTGTAAAAACGTACAAAGTAACTTAACTTTGTACGTTTTCAGGAGCATGCACAGTATTGTCGCATAATAAAAGAGATTGAAAAGTATTTTCTGCCTACCTTTATATGTGGTCAAGCTTTTTAACCAGTTGCTTTCAGCTCTCCTTCATCACTGTGTAACTGATTTAACTGCAAACGTACTTTCCATCCAGCATTTGCTCTTCCTGTAATATGGAGCGCAGCCAGCAAGTGCTCCAGCAATGTTCAGTGGAGTCATGTGTTTACTTTTAAGTCACGCATCAGCAGCTGCTAGCATCTCCTCCTACTGTGCCATCATTGCCACTTTGTCTGAGTCCATTATAAATGAGCTTTAGATCCCCGTGGAACTCCCTCACGCTTTACAAACAATAGCAGATGTTCTGCTACTTACTCTTACTTTCATTCTCCATCCAGGTCCACAGTAACAACATGTTCTCCCGCGATGTGAAGATCTTCTCCTCGGTCTCCTGTTGGTTTAAGCCCCACTTTGTATGGGAGGCGGAGCCTGTGGAGTTCAGGACGGTGCTGGATGACCGGAATCCAAGTGCTCGCTACGTCACCGTGGATCTGAACCACCGCACTGCCAAATCCCTCCGCTGCCACTTTTACTTTGCTGACGTCTGGATGATGTTTAGCGAGATTTCCTTTCAGTCAGGTAACAAACACGCACGTGCAAACAAAAGTGCAGGACAGTAAAAGAAGGAAAAATAAGTGACTTCCTGTTTTTTTTGTTTTTCAGTGGATACCATATTCCTGACCCAAATGACATCTCCTCTACCCACTAAGGACACCATCACAACACCTGCACAGAAGACAGGTGTGACAATTAATTGTTTCACGTTTTAAAGTCGCCACTTCAAAACTGCGCCAGATAGAGGGCGCTGTTTTGTCAGTTTGTGCTCAGGTCATTTTTTTTTCCTTTTTCTTAATTTTTGAGGACATATATCTTTTTTAGCATTTCTGTCATACTTAGTGGAGCCCACTAACAAATGTATTTGCAGAAACAAATGATAAAATCTTTGGTATATGGTATTCTAACCTTTCTTCTCAGCCGCTGCTCCATCAGCTAGTGCCACACCAGATGATGGGAAAACACCCATCCTTATCGGCTGCCTGGTAACCATCATCCTTTTGTTGGTCATCATCATCTTCCTCATCCTATGGTGTCAGTACGTCTGCAAGGTATTAGAGAAGGTGAGGATACAAATAAATGAATTACCTTTGTTTTTCTGAGTAGAAGTGGGGGTTTCTTAATAAAGTACCTTTATTTTGTTAACTTCCTGTCATGTCCGTTGGTGTTAAACATGCTGTAATCACTTAATCGCTTTAGGTTTTAAAAAAATGTTCCTGTAAACAGCTGCATTCTCTGCTGAAATGCAAACCGTTTCCTAATAGATGTCCACCAGGAGGTCCCTGCTTCCATTTTATGGTCTTTAAGTCACCTCACACATTTGTTTTGATTTTCAAACAGAGGTTAAAAGCTGCAGTTTAGATCCCAAACTCACGTGGGAGATGGGAGGCATTTCTTTTTCTTTTTAGGAAATAAGATTATAGCTTATGTTTGTGGCTAAATCAGGACTATTAAGCATTAAATCAGATTAAAGAACGAATAAGAATGAACTGACTGACTCTTTACAGGCATCTGTGACCCCATGTTTTTTCTTTCTTCCATCCTAATCTAGGGTCCACGTCGGATTCTTGATGAGGAGGTGACGGTCCGGCTGTCGTCCTGCAGTGACACCATCATTTTACAGACTCCACCTGTGCCCCCGCGCTCTGGACGCGCCCCGACTGGTACTCTTCTTTTACTTGTATCGTTTAAAACATGCCTTTGTTTACCATTATTATTCATGCAGAAAGAATTGGTGAAAGTTAAGGTGTTAAATTTCGTGTTTGTAGGAGAGATATTCTAAAGAAAATCTCTCTATGTGCATTTATTCTTGACTGATTCCTGCTGTTTTCCTCAGGTCCTGTGAACACTGACCCTCACTATGAGAGAATTTTCCTGTTGGACCCTCAGTACCAGAACCCAGCGGTGCTGAGAAACAAACTTCCAGAGCTGTCACAGAGCGCAGAGGCATCTGGTAAACACCTTCAACGATGAAGTCGATGCAGGCGTTCATTTAAGAATTAGTGAAAAAGACACAAGTTGAGAAATAGCAGAAAGTCCTTTGAACGCTGCGTCATGATGTTTGTCTTTGAGTGACCGCTTCATAACCGTGTGTTTAGGCTTGTAGTAGGAATTTGTGTTAAGAATCATTGATGCCTCAGAGATGTTCCAGATCTATCCAATATGACATGATTAATCACAGCTGTAGAGGAAAAAAGGTCGAAAGCCTTTCAATAAGAGAGTCTGCTGCCTCCTGGTGGCGATGTCAGTAATTTCAAACAAACTCTACAAACTTCAAGCATCCATCAAAGTTCTGATCTTCTGTCACTCATTAACAGCTCCTCAACCTGTTTCTCTCCAGTTTATTTACTTCAGAACGTGTTAAATAAGCTCTTTTTTTCTCCTTTTTCTCTCTATTTAAGTTTCCCAGATGAAGTTGAACATGCATGCTCATTCATACTTATTCTGCAGTGCTTCTCTCCTTTTTCTCTCGGCTCTCTACGCCTCTTTTCCAAGTTTCCTCTTCTTCCAGCTCTCCTCCTTGGTAATCCTCTCTATGACCTCCTCCTGCTGACTTCCTGTCATATGACATCAGGATGGCTTCGTGGTAAGAGTTGAAAGGTGTGACTTCATGCAGTTAATCAGATCACATATACTTAAGTGAAATCAAGTGAAGTTTGGAATTTTATTTTATTTTTATTTTTCAATTCTTTTCCTTCTATGAATCATCTTATGATCTCTCATGACCTACTGGAGGGGACCTAACCCTGAGAGGTTGGGATATCCTGGATTGAAAAAACTTCTGTAAAAAACAAATTCAAACTAGTAAAACTTCAGTCAGCAAGTAGACTAATGGTACTAGTAAAATGATAAAGATGTACTGCTTTTACTTTAGATAGAAAACTAGAAAATACCAGTAATTTAATGTTTTTACTATAATCTTGTGCTGTTGGTACTTTTCAGTAAGCTTCACTTCATTTTTTATTTATATTAGACATTAATTAAACAAGCGCTTGTCTTTCCAACAGCATGTGGAGGTGGCTATGCTGAGCCAGACATCACCCAGTGCACGCCGCACCAGTGTTTCCATAGCAATGCGCCACACTACGCTGAGACGGACATCGTGCGGCTGCAGGGCGTCACTGGCAGCAACATGTACGCCGTCCCCGCCCTCACCGTGGACTCTCTCACCAGGAAGGACATCTCCGCTGCTGAGTTTCCTCGGCAACAGCTGATCTTCAGGGAGAAGCTGGGGGAGGGGCAGTTTGGCGAGGTGAGCTTGTGGGAGGTTTCGTGGGCTTCAAAGTTATCCTGGAAAAATCTTATTTCATCCCTATTTCATCTTCTTCCCTTGCAGGTCCACCTGTGTGAGGCGGAGGGACTCCCAGAATTTCTTGGGGAAGGCTCGCCCCTCCCTGACCGAGACGGTCACTCTGTGCTTGTGGCTGTTAAACAGCTGAGGGCCGACGCTACCAGCCAAGCCAGGTACTCTTTATGAGTGTGTATATGAATCGCGACAATGTCAAACTATATAAATTTGGAGCTGAGGTGGTTAAAGGTTCATCTCCTGGAGAGCATATATTGGTTAAAATCAGTGTATTCATTGCTTTAATGTGTTCATATGATGAGAATGTTTCACTATTTATACACTAAAAACAAAAATATAGTCCATAACTAGTCAAATGAATAACGTGCAGGACCGAAAGCTCCAAACTGCATTTCCTGGTTGACTATTTTTTGCAGAGAAAGCCCTCCTACCTACAAATGCAGACCATGTTGTTTGAAGTGAGAGCAGTACTTGACTCCGTAGATGAGAATATATTAGGATAAACTGGTGTAAGAGCTTCAAGGGATGTGCAGGATCTAAGATCTGTGCATCAGGCTTCACTGTAACACTGAGAAATACATACCTGTAGTTGGTTCCTTTGAGTTGAAGAACAGATCTGGAAATACTTCCTCTCCTTTATCTGTCCGTCGATCAGGAACGACTTCCTGAAGGAAATAAAGATTATGTCTCGTCTGAATGACCCCAACATCATCCGACTGCTGTGTGTGTGTGTGTCGTCCGACCCACTGTGCATGGTTACTGAGTACATGGAGAACGGAGACCTCAACATGTTCCTGTCGCAGCGGGAGATCGAGAGCACTCTAACACATGCCAACAACATCCCTTCAGTCAGGTTAACCATGCACACAGTTCGCACAGGTCATACATGAAAACAATCGAGCGTCAGGTTTCTAAACTATCTTCTTAGTGCACTTTTGATTCTCACCACTTTGAATCGCTTTCTGCTTCTCCACTTCAGCCTGTCTGACCTCCTCCATATGGCGGTGCAGATCTCGTCGGGGATGAAGTACTTGGCATCTCTGAACTTTGTGCACCGTGACCTGGCCACAAGAAACTGCCTGCTGGACCGCCGCCTCACCATCAAGATTGCCGACTTCGGTATGAGCCGAAACCTGTACAGCAGCGACTACTACCGTATCCAGGGCCGGGCGGTGCTGCCTATACGATGGATGGCCTGGGAGAGCATTTTGTTGGTAAGGTTTGGACGAAGGGAGTTGATTTAAGATACGATCTTTATTTTGCTCCTTTTAAACTTTACACCCCTGTCATGTGTTACTTTTTGGTGGAAGTTCTGCGGTTATTCTGCTGCTGCATTCAAAATCTTCAGATACTTGAATGAATGTTACCCTGATGATACTTTCCTCTGTATTAGAGAGCTGAGAGCTGCTGTCATATGTCATATACGTTTTCACAGGATTCTGTCTGTAAGCACTAATCATGATTCAGTAGCTTGAAGAACCATCTTTAGCAGAAATAACTGTCAGTAAATTTTTTGCTGTATGACTTTATTAGTCTAATATAATTGTGGAGGAATTTTAGCCCACTGTTGTAGTTCTTAGGTCTTTTTTTTCCAAACTGGGAAAACATCTGCTGGTAAATAGGTGGTCAGATATTATTGTATGTTTTTCACATGTTCGTACAGGATATTGTATTTGTTTTAAATGTTATGCACTTGTGTGGTACATGTATTTTGACTTTTGTTGCTATGATGCCAGGTCTCTCTTGGAAATGAGATTTTTAATCTCAATGAGATTTTTTACCTGGATAAATAAAGGACTAATAAATAATAATAATAATGATACTAATAGTAAAAAAATTGCTGATTATGCTACTTAGCCTATTTTAACCCCCAATACTTCACACATACTACCAGCCAAGCCAGACTCTATGCAATGCTATAAATAGTCTTTTTCAAATGACTGGTAGTCTATAAATGTCTTTAATATTCAAAAGAAGAAGAGCTAAAAGTTCCAGAAGTTTATATAGGCTTGTAATTGTATTCAAACCCTGGGGACATTTGCCTAGATCAGTTCAGCGACTTATAAAAAACATGTACGTTCCCCTCACATCTTCTTTTTTAAAAATCAACAGCTGAAAGCAGTAAAACAGTTTTCCACAAAACAAATAACAAACTCTTTACAGTTGCTTGTCTTTAAAATTGCTAGATGCATAAATGCAAATGCAAAATGTTTCACTAAAGGAAGTTTAGCTAAGAGTTCTTCAAAAGCTTCCTGCCCTCCAGAGGAAGCACCAGTAGCGGTTTGCACACTAAAACAATGAAACATCTTTTTTGCTGCAGTGTTTTCTTTCAATAACTTTCCTGTTCTGCATTATGAATGTGGTTGCATAAGTTTAATGTCTTTTGCAGCTGTAAAGTTAAGCGAAAAAACAATGGATCCAAGCGGACCCAAACCAGGTCTAAAGCAGAAGCTTTTACGTTTTTATCGTATCGTATTTTTTTGTAAGTCTCACAAAGTATCGCAATCAACATTTCATCAGCAGCTGTCTTCAGAGAGTCACTGAAAATAAGACAAAGTATTTTAAAGTTGGAGTGTTAAACTTTCAGATGTGATTATTCTCCTCAGGGTAAATTCACCACAGCCAGTGACGTGTGGGCCTTTGGAGTCACCCTGTGGGAGATCTTCACTCTGTGTAAGGAGCAGCCCTACAGCCTGCTGTCTGATGAACAGGTCATAGAGAACACTGGCGAGTTCTTCAGGAACCAGGGCAGACAGGTGAGGCGAAACACAGGACAGAGTCACAGATTATTATCTTCTGTCACTTCTGAGAGTAATACTGCAAACATTTAATTTAATTGCAACTGGATCCAAGACAGCTCATAGCAGTCTTTACAAACCTGGAAATCAGGACCCTTGTAAGTGCCTGCAGGATAAATTTGAGGGGCTACTAAACCTAAACCAACATTTGTCTTTTTTAACTAATCACTGGACTCTGTCATCACTCTTAATTCTCCCGTGTCCCTCACTAGATCTTCCTCTATGCCCCTCCACTCTGCCCACCTTCTCTCTTTGAGCTGATGATGCGTTGCTGGAGTCGCGATATCCCTGACCGACCCACCTTCGAGGGACTTTACCAAGCCCTGAAGCCCCACGTCAACCAGTGAGTCAAGGCTGCTGGGATCTGCTGGTTGGGATTTCCGTGGCGGTGGGACTCTTATAAGAAGACAGACTGACACAAGAGCACAGAGGACTGGAATTACAGTGCAGAGGGATTGTTGGTTTGCTTCACGGCACTAGCGACTCCCTTTTCTGAAAGACCAGGTGATGATGGAGGGAGACGTGACTAGTCAGCTCAGAGGAGAAAATATGGCAAGCTTCAGACCTTTTGGTCCATAGTGAACAAACCATTGGCAGTTTCATAGCTTCTTCTGTTTTTTTACAGCCGCTTTACCCCAAGCCTTTTGACTTGTTTGTGCCAAAAGTTGCCTTAAACCATTTGTTTCCTTCTCTTTGACTTTTAGAGATTACAAAAAACTGGATAGTCCTTGTAGTTTCTCCTTTCCCTGTGGGTTTTTATTATTATTATCATTATTATTATTATTATTGTTATTATTATTATTGTAAAGCACTGTGTCTGTGTCTCTCAGTTATTCATGTTCATATATTAATCCACACTGGAGCTAGGGCTATAGGGTCAGATTTTAGTGTAGGATTTTATTTTTTAGATTTATTCTATTTTAAAATTTTGTTGTTTTGTGGAGTTTCACAATCGTTGGTCTTTTTTTTTTGTGGATATGAATGTTGGTCAGCTGAGGTTCACGTCACAGTGCCAAGAAGCTGAAGAAACCTGTGTGGCTCACAGACTGAAAATCAGTCGGTGGGTATCTGTGGGAAATTTTGAAAAAAAAGAACTTAAAGCCACATGAGAAAAAAGCTGAATCATGCCACTTTTGTTCCCTAAGAGACAAAAAAAAATGTTGAAATGCAGTTTTAAAATAAAAACAGAATTGTAAGCATCTTTGTGAAGATGGGCATGATGGTCAAAATCCTTTTATTCAAAGTGCTTTGCATATGTAGCAAAATCGGTACCAGAGGGAAAGGTCATGGACGCCTGACCCTCAGATGCTGGTCGCAGGGAGATTAACCAAGTGTCGAATACCAAGGTGTCATTTAACCTGTCGGTGTTTGTCTTTGGGGACCTGCAAAATACACATTTTGTGGATAAAAAAATCAAAAGGCATACCTGATTTAAACGTGGGCACCACGTGGTCAGAGTTTAGTGCACACCAGCATGTAAAACATTAAAAAAGCAGGATTTTCACTCAGCACTTGGTTTGTCCTCTCAAAATGAAATTCAGGTTCATTGGTCACACACGTCAGTGACACACAAATGCAAATCTGATAGTTATGAGCCCTGCTTAGGCAGCCCATCTCTGTGGGGAGATTTAAAACAGGTATCCTTTTTGATTTTTGATGGGCATTGTGGAACTTTATGAATGCACCTTGCATATCTCCTTATTTGAACTCACAAAGCTGAAGGTGTTAAGCTCTTCTCTGGCTTCATGTAGTCGGTTTTATTCACAGAAATAAACTGCAGTAATACTTACTGCATTGCTGCACATGTAGATGTCTCACCATTTGATATGTCTAGTCTTCTGTAGTCTGAATTTGCTAGAATTTGAACTCCAGACAAGGCATTTTGTCTTGACTTAATGTACCATCTACATTTGGGGCTGTGAGTTCCCAAACTACTGGGTTACAACAAGGTTCACTGATGAGTGAAAGCTGATAGACTGTGGGCAAATGGAGGCCTTACACCAAGGCTGGATTTCCAACTAGGCAAAGCAGGAAACTGGGAAAAAGCCATTTGTCTGTCACCACTGGTTGTAGCTAAAAAATGTTTAAGTGCTTCCAACACTGAGCAGGTATTTAACCGAAGAGCGCCCTGCAATAATAGTTCATTTTCTGACCCTGTGTAGTGGAATAACCCTGTGGCAGATTGTACCATTTTAGTTTAGTTTGTCCGTAGCGGAGCCTGTTCCTGAAGTTATATTTAATCAAATGTAGGTGTAAAGACTAATGTTTCAGCTCAGAGGATCTGATTACACGGTTCATATTCAAAGGCACACTGGTCAGGAGATCAGTGTTAGCTATCAGTGTATGTTTTACATGGGGGCCACTTAACAGGTTCATGCATTAGAGAAGTCACTGCATCCAATCACTGCAGCACCTTTACTGAAAAAACCATAAAGATTTTTACGTTTAAAAAGCAATTCATTCATTCTGACTTTGTTTTGCATAGCATTCAGATGAGTCTTGTTTACAGAACTAATGCTGGATCGATGCAGACTGTAGACTGGATTTATTGTTCTTCTGTCAGGATGTCTTAGGAGTAATAAACTTTTAACAAAAAAAACCCCCGAAACAATAAATGTTTCATGTCCAAATGTTTCACAATGATTTCAGCTTCAGCCAAAACTGACAAACGATACGAGCGTTGGAATTTTCATGATTCTGTCTCATCTTCAAAGTGTTGGCATTAACTTTAATCCAAGTATCAGTCCTCACCTTCCTTCTTGCAAGATTGAAAATTTATAACCGATAAGGAAGTTCATGTCGACAGTGCAACGATTTAAGCGAGCAGTTACAGATATAAGGCCATACAGATTCATATAGATAGGTGACCATAGCCAGTGAGTATTTTGCACAACCTGACAAGGGAGGGATGGATCTGACTATGAAACTGAGGGATGGGTCGTAAGGAAGGCCCATTTGCTTAAGCAAAGCATACCCTGCTTTAAGTCCAGTTAACTCTAAATGAACCGTAGTTTACAAAATAAAATTTGTGCTGAATTAGGTCAGACTAGAAACTATTGAATAAGACTATAAACTACCTGGGAAAGTCTTTACTTCACAAATGAAGTTAGCTGAAGAGAGATTCTCATAGACTTCTGTACAATCAGACTTTTTGCCACTAATGGAGTTTCCTCTGGCTGGCGATTAGAGAAATGGGAGGTTTCAGGTACTTCTGTGTTCTGTGCCTCATTTTTCAGACACAGAGACTCTTTCTGTCTTTTCTACAGTCTGTGGATGGTAGCGGACGGTGCAGCCTTTTGACTAACTAACTCAAGTGATGCTGATAGTGGCTATCATGTTAGTAGTAACAAGAGCCGCTTTGCCCCCATGCTTCCTGCACCATTCATTTTAACATGACTCAATAAACTTCTGATGTGTCTGTTTTCAGAGTTCTTGTCTAATGTATAAAGGTGGTAAAGCATAATTTAATGTCTGTTTTTTTTTTTTTTACTGTTTAGGTCACTCAGTTAATATCAGTGTGTATTATTTGTATGCAGTACACATTTGCAGTATTTTAAATCCTCCCTGAGAACAAATCGTATAAAATTAAAAATGGCGCAAACGGAGAAAGACCAAACATGTAGATTTTTGAGTACATTTTTCTGTGTTTTGTTGTTGTTGCAGTAGTGTTTTGTTATCTGTACTGTATCTTACATTTCTTTCAGCGTGTTTGTGCGAGTGTTTAAGAGAAAGTGAGATACTGAGTGAGTCTTTTCAACATTCCCTTGAGCACTGGGAGCTAGTTGAGGTTAAAGTGGTTAACTGGATTTGCTCGGTTGTGCCAAATTATGTTAACTAAGCAAAAGAGGGAGTTGGGTTTTGTTGTTGTTGTTGTTGTTGTTGTTTTCAAGGCAAGAGGAAAGATGGACAGAAGGAAACCACTAAACTCAATCTCCCAGAGTCCTTTGCTACAGTGAGCCTGTGTATTTTGTTTTGGTTCCATTTGAGAAATCTTTTAGTTTGATAGTGTACAGTATAATTGGTCTATAATATCTCAGTGTGTGAATGCAGATTAGGTGTGGTAATTTTTATTAATAATTAATTGTCTATCTGAATTTATAGCTATTTCTGTTTGTTTCCCCCTTTTTTTTACACAGGAATTCAGCATTTATGGACATTTTTCTGAACAAGATGTTCTGTTTTGTTTCCCTGTTGTGTTCACAGTAATTTCTCATCCACACTGTTTAATCTTTGCTCCCATCTTCAGTATGTTTCAGACACATATTGTACATAGGCTAGTAGCTGTTTATATTAATATATTGGGAGGAGGAAGCTTGGTGTTCTCTGGTCCCAAGTGGTTTTCACTCTGTACTTTATCTCACTTTGGTTTGTTTTCCTATAATAAACAGTAAATGTGTCAAAGATGGGGTTTTTTCTTTTGTCTTTGTTTATTTGTTTGTTTGTTTGTTTGTTTCATGAGTAGAGAAAACACTGCAAATTGAAATCTAAGCTTTTCAACAGTTGACGTTACAGTTTTCAGTCTAGACCACATCGATGTTCTGTACAGCAGGGGGCAGCAGAGAGATTTAAAACACACACGTATACAGGACAGCCTATATGTGGAAATGAGTCCTAGAGAAGCTTTGTTGTTCTGAAGGAACACTGAAGGCCTGATTTCTGCACATTTTTATGCCTTTTGTTTCAGGTTTGAATGTTCTGTGAGGATTTACGCCTTTTTGTTTTTTTTTTTCCCAAGAAAAATAAAGGTTAGCAGGGATCCAACACAACAAGAGGGTCCGTGGTGGGCAGGAACTTTTTTGTGAATTAAGGCACTGGTAATAAAACGTAACAGCCAATGATTAAAAATGACAAATTTCAGGCTCTTTAAGCTCTACTTTGGTCTCAACCTCCTCGGGAAAATATGTCTAGAGTAACCGTGGGTTTACCAAACTGTGAAGCTGCTCCTACAGCCTTATATGTGGGTTACATTATTAGGCCAAGATTGTTGCATCACTCGCTCCCTGTTCAATGTAGAATTGAATTAAATCCTTCTCTTCATAAACAAGGTCTTGAATAATCAGGCCTCATCTTGTCTTAAAGACCTTAAGTAATGCATTACTGGGATATTTAAAAGTAGAATGGGAGCTTTCATGCCTCTCATTTGTGGCACTAACTCTCAGTTTGGATTCGGGAGACAAACACCCTCTCTCGTAATGTGTTAAAGGTTTTCAGTTGGCTGGACTGCAGGCAGGGCAGTTTAGTACCTGGACTCTTCTACTACTTCTTCTACTATAGGTGCTGTGTGCGGTTTAGTATTGTCATGTTTAAATATGCAAGGACTTCCCTGGAATAAGACATCATCTGGATGGAAACATGTGTTGCTCTAAATCTTGTATATACCTTTCAGCATTGATGATGCCTTTTAATGTGTGCAAAACACCAGTATAGGCACTAATGCAACCTCATACCATCAGAAATCAAACAGCTTTCCCATTTGGATTTCTCTGACTACAGAACAGTTTTTCCACTTTGCCTCAGTCCATTTTAATGAGCTTTAGCCCGGAGAAGACGCCACCGTTTCTGTTTTCAGACATTGCTTCTTCTTTGCATGGTAGCACTTAAACCTGGATTTTAGGACTGGAACAGGGAATTGTGTTCACAGACTCACAGACGATGATTTGTGGAAGTTTTCCTGAGCATGCAGTGATTTCCATGACAGATGCATCCCTGTTTTCAATGCAGTGCCCCCTGCAGTTCTAAAGATTACAAACATCCAATACTGATTTTTAGCCTTGTCTCTAGCACACAGAGATTTCTCCAGATTCTCTTAATCTCTTGATGATATTATGTACTGTAGATATTAGATATTCAAAATCAATTTTTTTACAGATTGGTGAACCTCTGCTTTTCTTTACTTCTGAGAAATGATGCCTCCCTAAAGATGATCTTTTCCCCCCTTTCTAGCCTTCTGATGCCCCATTTGACTTTTTTTTTTTTTTAAAAAATAGGGATTGCTGCCATCAAATTAAAAATGACTTGTTTCAGTTTTCCCATTTGAAACATTTGATATGTTTTCCATGTTCAATTGTGAATAAAATATGACTTTATGAGATTTGCAAGTCATCTCATTGTGTTTTTATTTCCATTTTACTCAACATTGCAACTTTTCTGGAATTGGGTTTTGGTCTCTTTTAGTTGAGATGTTTCTTTTGTATCTAGGATTTATCATGCATCATAATCAATCAGTTAGTTTCCGTACTAACTGCACGAATTGAGTAATGAAAGAGAAGTGTTATAAAACCTTTGCAGGTTGCTCATGAACTCTGCAGGAATCCTGACAATCACAGATTTTGTAACTGTCCTAAATTTGGCAAAGAAGCCAAAGGCAGAGGTTTGCCTGCATGTGTGGGCTCAGTGCCGGCAGATTTCATAAGGGTGGTTCACGGCCAAAAAGCACGGCGCAGGTTTTACTTTGATGGAAGTTTGTTTAAAGTTGCCATGTCTCTCTGTAGGTATGAAGTGTAAATGTCGCTTGGTTGATAAATTGACAGCCTAAAAATGTGCTGTAAGTTTAAAAAGCACTAAAAACCTTCCACACGTGTGAAGGTTTACACAACACTGGGCAAGGTGACAACAGCTTTTATACAAGTGGTATGATGCTAGAGTAGATCCAGCCAAACCCAACCTGACTGTAATTGTTGGTGCTCTGCTCCCTGCTGTCCTTCCAAATGTGCGAGTAGGACTGGTCACAGTAGGGACTATTTTTGTCTCTTTAGTGTGAGAGCTGTCACGTACACCAAAAGCTTCATAGAGGACTGAGAATAGCTTGAGCCATTTCATTTTTGAACATTTACTTTCCTTTCACTTTAAAGGCCGTCAGTGACAGAATGACAATTAGCAAGTGGAGTACGCGAACATTTGGAAGTTCAGAAAAGGTTTACAAAGCAAGTTAGAGCAAAATTATAACCACAGTCGTTACTGCTGAATGACTACGGCAGTGTTTTGACTTAGTTTAAAGGCTGCTTAAGAATTTGTCTTCATTAACAAAAAACAAAAAACAACCAACCGATCAAATCCATGAACAATGTCTGTTTTTGCCCAATCAAGACGTAAAGCCTAATTGTGCAACATTAATAATCTCTATCTAAGCTATAAAGATAATTTAGTGGCTCTCCACAAAGTTTTTTTATTAACTTAGTTCTAAATTCTGGATTCTGCTGAAAAGAAAAACTTACCAAGTTTCATTCACTTTTCCAGCATTTTGTTGACCTACATCCAACTTTTTGAGATGTTTTGCTGCCCCAAAATTTAAAATTCTGCATTTTCTCACTTGAACTCAAATTTGATTCACTTTTTCAGTTGTGAAGAAAATATGGGTTAATGAATATGAGTTGTAGATAAAACATTTAAAGTGAATAGATTAAGTAGAATATAAAACAGAGTAAAATAGAGTGAAGTACTGTGTGAACATGTGTTGTGTCTTCTCGTAACCATAGAAATAAAAAACACAACACAAAACGTGTCAACAAGACTCTGCACAGTAAATTATTAACCTGGTTGAATTTAAAGAAATATTTAAACACAACAGCATTCGAAGTAGTTGTATTTATTCATGATTTATAGTTGTCATCCTTTCTAAGTGTAACGGCAAATGATGTTAGTATTTAATACAAACTATGGGCAACCGCAGCAATCTGCCAGTGACCACAACAATCAAAACAATTTTCGATGCTGTCACGGCACCGAACACCGAACTCTCTGACCCAGTGTTTGTGTCTTTGGTTAAGTTATACTCTTTAAATTGTGGTTTTCTATTTGTATTATATTTATAGTTCCTGGTTTCTAGGTTTCTGTGCCTCATCTGTGTTCTTGGTGAAGGTTTAATTCTGTTCTCCGTACGTTGGATGTTCATTCTTTTCTGTCTCTATGGGTTGCATGTGTCCACGTCTTGTTGATTCAAGTTCCTTCTGTTCCAGAGTCTGTCATGTTTCCACATCTCTGTCTTTATGAATGCTTTGTGCTTCCTGTTTTACTTTGACAGTCTGTGTCCTATTATCACTGTATTCTGCTTTGTTTCCTTGTCTCATTATGTCAGATTAGCCCCAGCTGTGCTTCCCTCCTGTTTTCCATTCCCTCGTCATGCCCCGGTGACGAGGGAATGGAAATGCCTTTAAGTTTCATTCTGTGTCCAAGTCCTGCGTTTGGGTCCGTATCCTGCCACAGTACACACCTTGACAGGTGCAGCACTGTGTACCTATTTTGTATACCTATTTCACCTTGAGACTGCCACCAACATTTTGCAAACTGGCTGAGAAATATACATTTTTCCATAGTGATCTGTGGTTACCAGATGGTCTCCACGCCTGTATGACTGGGACCTTATGTTACCTGTGCATTTCCATGACTCTGCTACTTTCAGCTGCTCCCTTAATCCCAAGAGCTCACACAGCAAGCACCTCGGCACAGATTTACACCAGATAAACTTCCTGACAAAACCCCAAATGGGTTTTGGGTCTCCATCTATAATCGGACCAAACCAAACCTTACAGTTTTAAGGTGAATGTGTAAACCACTACACTATGGAGTCTCTTGCTTCTCCTTACTGATTCTTCTTCCCACCCTTCTTCACCTCATAAGGTTTTCTACTGTGGTGAAGAAAAGGTAACAAGGAAAATGTTGTAGGGAATATGTTTTTTTAGCTTTTCCACTGAACCCTCAGTCTTTGTTAGGTTGTCATTTAATCTCCCTTCTGTTTCTCAGTTTTCCATTTTTCTGGCTCCCAAATTTTGATTTGCTTCTAAATAAATAGATCCTTTCATATTTACTGCCAACCATCAGTCCCATCCAAAAACCTTTATATTTAAATTTGCAGGTAAATTGATATAATCTACATCAGTTAAACTTAAATAGTTATAAAACCAGAACTCTTCTAACTCTGGTTTTTGCATTATGTTCACTCGTGGAAGAATCTGGATGTCTGTATAAACTCTCACAGCTCCTACGGGGCAAACAGCAGGATGCTATGAGCCAGTCATGAATGAATCGAAGCAACAGCACAATCTTTAATCTTTAACTGAATAAAATATGATACACAGAGGAATGTTAAGCCTTGTGTGCACAGATAAAGGATTTGGGTCATTCATTAAATAATGCCACGGTTGTATTTTGATGCAGGTAAGTGCCAATGTGCCATTTTAAGAACTCGGTTTTAATTCTTATTTTGCCAAAAAAAAATATATCATGAGACCCTAAGAATCTGGAAAATAATAATTGTTTTCGAGTTCAAACATCTGGCTGAATAAAGCCTCATTAGTTTGTGTCGATTAAAGATTTAATGGTCCATGTCAGGAAACGGGGTCCCTGCAGGAGTTATAATAGGAAAGACCACAGAATAAAAAGGATGGAAAGAAGGAACCAGCAAA